AGGACTAGAGAGGAGGGGTTTTTGTGTTATCTTGAATTAGATCAGCTGTAGAATTGAGAGAGAGATGCTGGACAAGCTTCTGGGCACAAAGTGTCCTTCTGCAGGACTTGGAAAGAAGCAGTTGCAGGCTAAGCTAAGTATGAGGAACAAAACAGTGATTTGTGTTTAACTCCTTATAAATGAAAGCAGTCAGCTAGGCCAGGTACAGACACTCCAGTCACTTACACCAGTAAAAGTAGAAACCAGTCTATACCCGTTACAGAACAGAAGTTTGGCACACAACACCAGTTTACAAGTCCTTGTAGCAATGTAGGTCCTGCTCACTATAGGGTGGAAGGAATCATCTTTGTAACCTCACTCTTATGACTCTTGTTTTTAGAATTAGAACTGGTCAGGATTTTTTTTTTATAATATGTTTTAGGGAAATGCCAAGTTTGTCAAAACCCAAACTCCTCATGGCAATGGGCCAGTTTCAAGAGCAGTTTTCCTGAGAAGGGCTTTTCTGGTCCAGAGTAGAACTTCTGGTCATATTATGAGCAGAGGGATCCCAAAATAGCCAGGAGCCTGGTGGTCAGTGCTGTCACCTCAAATGAGGAAGACCAAGACCCTGCTTGGTAATGGCAGTTGCCTCAGAAAAGGAAGACCAAGAGACATGAACCTTGCACTTCCCAGGCAGTGTGTTGATGACCGGCTAAATTGGGGTGGGTATCATTTCAGCCCCTCCTGGTACAGCTGTGGCATTTTATTAATTAATAATGAAATATTCACTGGTCTGGAGAGAGAGGCTGACTATATTGCTCAGTGTTTAGGGCCCTTTCCTGGCAGGTGGGAGACTGAATGTCACAGCCATTGTAGAGCTCCTCCTGGTGGACACTTGCAAGCCTACTGTGCTGGTTCCCAGTTTTAGTCCTGTGTGCTTCCCTGGACCCAGGTGGGTGGCAGCTACTGTTCCTTCCCTTGGTCTCTCTGGTGCAGGTGATCTGTCTCTGCTACCCATAGCGGACATGGGGCCCTATGGTCTGGCTGCCCTAGGGCACCCAAACCACTGCTGATGCCCCAGACTCTCCAGCAGTGTGAAGCACACCCTGTGCCACAGTGCAGCCGGGTGGGTGGGGTGGGCTTGCAGTTGAAGTCTATGATGGCAGGTGGTGGGTGCAGCACCCAGACTTTGCTGAAGATCCTAACACAAGATTCTACTTAGCTTGCATGAGAAACTCAAAGATGTGTATGAAATAATAAACACTTGTATGCACATTCATTTCTCTGCCTCCATTTACTCACCTCTCTGGGGAGTCTTTGGCAGAATCCTCTAAAGAATCCAGAACCTCATCGTGTACATGGCCTCTCTTGGGGCACAAATACACATGCAGCGAGGCTGCTCCGATGCGCTGTAGTTACACCATGTCAGAGCAGACTTGATTAATCGAGTCTGTTGGAGTGTGGTCATCACTGTGCTCCAGCAGACTTCAGCGTCACGTGCATCAGTGTCCCTGCGCTGAAAATGGTGGCGGGGGTGCTTTAATTACGGCTCGTTTGATGAGTTTCAGTTAAAGTGCCCCCACCACCATTTTTCAGCGTGGGGACACTGACACTGCAGGTGCTTTAATTGCAGTGGCTCTTGGAGCTGCTCTAATTGAAGTGCTTTTCCCCCACCCTCCCAACTCCTGGACCACATGGATAAACACATCTCTTGCCCTCCTCCAAATCTATTTCCTTTAACCTTTACAAGTCCCTCAGTTATGAAAGCACGCTCTTCATGTAATCCTCCCCCCTGCTCTTTGTTTTGGAGTCTGTTGAGTTATCCTTGTTGCCTGGTTCCTTTCTTCTGCTGCTGAGGAATTTTTCTATTGTTCCAAATCCCTCCCTGCTGGACAAACTTGGCTGAACTGGTTTCCCAGCTTTGACAACACCATCAGCACATCCATTATTTAGTGGTCTGGGTACGTCAGTTATACGGTGCTGACATGACATAGAGTAGATTTTACAAGCACCAAGTCTGTCATGATGCAGCAAATTTATAACCTCAGCCAAAGTACTCCACGAGCTAGGGTCTTGAGGGAGAACTGGGGTTGGGTGAGGACCTGGAAGTAGAAACTGGGACTGGATGACTTTGAGGTCCCTTCCAATTTTACTTTCTTATGATTCCTAAAACTTGGGCTTGAGATAAAACTTGGGCTTGGATAAAACTTGGCCAAGTTAAGTGTGCTTTGACTTGGCTCAAGTTTAAGTTCAGCTAGTAATGGGTTGGACATGCAGCAGATTGAGGGTGAAGCTAAATGTTACTTAGTCCATACAAAATTTGTGGAATATAAGTGGCATTAAATTTAGAACATGCTACGAGCAGTTGCATGTTAATGTTTAACACCATTTTTTGCTTGTGCTCAGACTTGCTGCTAGAGAGCTGGCAAGCAGGGGCATGGCTAGGAGTCAGGACACCTGAGCTCTATTCCCGCTTGGGGGTCGGGGGATGTCTTGGAAGTAGTACATCCTGAGATGTTGGAGGACTGCAAATTGCTTGTTTTGTCTCTGTGGAGTAGACTGAAGTTACCCTAGCACAAGCTAGGTAGTACAGCCCAGAGTTAACCCTTGTCTGAAGTGGTGCCACTTTGAGAGGTTCAGAGAGTGCTTAGCATGAGTTAACAAGCTTTAACATGAAGATGCTCATGTTTTAAGTGCCCTTAGTATGGTCTAAGTGTAATGTGTAACTTCACCCTGAGTTAGTGACCCATCCATTGCTAATGCAATTGCTCTGCTAAAGTGAGGGAATGGTGTTTCAACATGGTCGCTCTTGCTCCACACCCACACAGAGCAGGGCCAGCTGGACTGCAGTGATGCCCATGTGTTAACTTGGACCAGTCCTTGCAGTGAGCCCTGAAACAGGGGTGAGAATTTGGAGGTGTGGAGGCTGGAATTAGTGAGTGAAGAAAATGGGGGAGGAGCCAGAGACAGGTTGAAGGTGTGTGTGTGGGGGGAGGAGGGGGGCGCATTATATCTAAAGGTCCCAACCCTGCTGCTGACTCACAGGGATAAAAATGAGATGCAGTATGCTGGGATTTCTGTTTTTTCAGTCTGCTTCCTAAGAACCAGGACATCTCTGACGCACACACTGCACTAAAAGAGGGTTGTAAAGGTTGCAAAGTCCAGAGCTCAGAAACTAGAAATGTAGAAATGCCAGAATTAAGGTTGCTCGTGCAACATTCATGTGCCCACTTCGTGCATATACTTTTTTTTTTTTCAAGAAATGTGTTTTGTTCCAAGCCAAATCGAGTCCAAATCCTTGAGTCAGTCCAGAACCATAAGTGGCTGTACAACCGGCAAACATCCTCCACCCCCACCAGGGGCTTCAGATACTTCCAAAGTCTTTTGGCAGGCATCCTATGTTCAGGCCCAATCCTGGAGGCTTGGGGTTCAGATGCCCCCAAGTTTTGCCTGCCCTCAGCCATATGGCCGCAGGAACAAGCTAGGGAGAAGCCTCCCATTTCCATAAAATGGGCATTAAGCCCCAACACTCAGAGGCTACTAAACCACGCCAGAAGAACAGTTAGTCCCAGGAGGCTTAAGGAAAACTGCCTTCTTGGACCCAGATGCATGGTGTTTCCCCTGCCCTTGTGTATATACATTAAGATAGAGGAGCCAAGAATATTTGTGCTCTGGGCTAGGTCTGGACCACGGGACTCACTTGAAGGCTAGATCTGGACCCACCTTCAGTGCATGGCAAGCAGTGGCAGTGGTGGGATGCCATGGGGGAGCCATGGGGGTTAACACAGCTGTTGCTGACCCTGCTGCTGCTGAAACACATGCCCAGTAGGGTTTCATACCCTGGAATTTGGCAGTGTTCCCCTTCCTCTCCCCCCTTGGCCCTGCCTTTGAATTCTTGACCCCTTCAGGAACCCCCGGGGCAGGATCCTGCCCGTGGGCTATGTTTGACAGCCCTGCATTAGGAGAGAATCCTTAACCGTATGACAGCAGACTAGTTTTTCATGTGACCCCTGTCTCATTCGGGATGGACCTGTCTGGAGGACAAATCAGGTGAGAGGAACAGTTGCTCATAGGATCCTCTATTTCTTTTGTTGCCAAAGCTGGAAGGTGTGCAGTAAATGGGGCAGGGCACTGCAGAGAGGGAGAGGGTGATCTCACAATTAAGCAAGCTGAACAAGTGGGAGCCAACCCCTGCCTCTGCTGCAGAGCTCCTTTATGATGCTGGGCAAGTCACCTACACCAAGCTCTGCACAGGTGGCTGCTGACTGTGTGTTCCTCATTTACTGAATGTCTGACTTAACTGTGGGGTCTGATTTGCAGAAGTGCTAAGCACTCATGGTCACACAGGCAGCTGTGCTTGGAGCAGATAAGATGCTATAAGGACACTGAAAAAGCCGGGTCTGAAGTGAGCATTTTGAGATGCCTAATACTGGTGCAGGTTTTCCCACCTTAATCCCTTTGCACCTCAGTCAGTTCCAGGAGGATGGTGGTGGCCCCTTGTTTCCCTGGAGTGCCGCGGTGACAAATGCGGTCATATTTGTGAAGCATTCAGGTGGGTAGTGATGGACACCTGTGAGGCAGGTAACCAGTCTGCCTGCAGAGTAGGGCTTGAAGAGGATAACATGCCAAGCAATGCCCACTGAACAGCAGAGGGAAACCAATATTGGCTCATGGTCCCCTGGGTCAGCCCTGTCCAGCTTGAGCGTCCAGTGTCTCTCCAGCATCCTTGTAGCCTTGACCAAGCAGAGGAGTCCTGAGGCAAGTACCAGAGCAGTCTGCTTGCAGGGGAAGCTAGCCTGTCCCCAGGAGGAGCCCAGAGCCACCAGCGCAGAAGTTCAGAGCCTCCCCCAGGCCCAGCTCGTCCCCTCCCCCCTTGGTTCCTTTTTGTTTCTTGAGTGACTTGCAAGTGCGTGACCCTGGTGTAAGTGCTGAGATCAGTAAGCAAAGTGGCTTGCATGGCGTCCATGTGACTGCCATTTCCGCTGGTTCCTTCCGCAAGGTCTAAATTAACCTTGTGCTAAGTGAGCGAGAGAGAGAGAGAAACCTCCTGGTTGCAGCTAATTTTGCCTTTTGTGAAGCCTCCAAGGGAGCGCAGGAGTGCGGCCACACTCAAGATGAATCCCTGCGAGCTGTGCGCGCCACCTCAAGCGGTGAGTAAATCCCTGGGCACTGCGCTCTGCCACGCTGAAGCCAGCGTTCAGGAGTGAGATGTGGGGGAGGTCACCGAGGTCCCCTGGTGAGGCTGGAAAGTCATTCGTCTAAAGGGCGTCTCTGGCTCACTGCTTGTGGGTCTGGGCGGGTGGGCGGAGGTGGTTTAGGGGTGTTTCTGAGGTCTGTGAGTGATGAGGTGTCTCAGTCACTGGCCTGTGTGGGGCACCACTCTGGTATGGCATGGTCCTCCGGGCAGGGCTGGCATGTGCAGTGATGGGGACGGGGCCAGGCCAGGCCATGTCAGCAAAGCCCTCATGTCCGTTCTTGTCTCCTGGTCTCCTTGCGGGTGCTCCTCTGACCTGTGTCAGGAGGATGCTGCAGAAGTTACAACCTGCCCCTGGCATCCCAACAGAGCAACACAGGAGAAGAAATGGAGGGCGGAAGGCTGGGTATGGAAGGAAGGGAGCTAATGGTGGGCAAAGCCTGGCACAGAGGTGAGGAAGGGAGAAGGAACCTAGCCAGCAAAGAAGCTGAGAGTGGGAGAGTGACTGACTTGGAGGAGAGAAAACTGCCTGAGAAGGGAATGATGTAGATGTAGAAACAAAGAGAATCATTTAAAAAAAGATTAAATGTAGTAGAGTGTTTGGTGGGAACAAGGACAAGGATGCCAGGCTTGGCTGCCATCAGGAGGCATCAAGTCATCCTGCAATAGGGTTTTTATGCAGCCCCTATTACTTCAGTATCTCAGCACCAGTGGAGTTGAGGCCCCATCATCAGCTGAGGTAAATGACTTTAAGTGGGATGACTGGTTTACACCAGCTAAGGATCTGTCCCACAAAAAAAAAAATTAGAGAAGGGGGGAAACCCCAGGAAACCATAGCAAGTGATCTGTGTGATAAGAGCTGGGTTTGTGCTTTTTGATTCTGGCGGTTTGGAGATCCCTTGGGGAAAAAAAAAAACTTTGAAAATTTCCCCAGCTCTGCTCAGGATCCCAGGCCCAAGGTACACATTACATTTCTGGCACAATTAACATGTTAATCATGCCATAAATAGCATCAAGCCACATGTTCATTATTGTTTATGGTGCCATAAAATGGCAAAGCAGCCACTCAACAAGTGTGTAACATCTTTGTGGTTGGTTTTTATGGCTTCACAAAATGAACATGGTATACTTGACCATCCCAATGATGATAATCAGCTGATTATCAGTATCAGGACATGGGCATCCCCAGGTCTGGAACCTGGATGGGGCTGCCCTGGTCCCAATGCTGACCATTGCTGATTGCCCTGGTCCCAATGCTGACCACTGCTGATCAAGATGCAGGGTTGCCAGGACCCAGCACATTAAACAGCCCTGCCCTGCAGCCTCCGCTCTTTAAGATGCCAGGTTTTGGTGAGCCTCAGACCATGGGGCAGCTCCTGTGGCAGGAAAGCAGCCCCCCCCTGTCTGATCCCAAGGATAGCCCTGGGTCTGAACCAAGACTGGGGCTGCCCAATGTCAAATCCCAAAGCTCAGCTAAACATCAGGATTCAGCATGGGCAGCCTGGGTTCCAGGGCAAAGCTGTCCCTTGCTCAGTTGGTGGGATTGGGCTGGAGGCAGCTCTGGGTCCTGAACCTGCCTGCCCCTATGCTCTTTCCTAAGAGAATGTCGGGTGCAGCTTAAAATGGATGCACAGCTGAGGATGAGGGAGCTTCTTCCACTCTCAGCTGCATATACCAGTTATGAGGCACCCAACACGAGAAGCAGGGTATAAGGAAACTGCACACACTGTACGTGCTGGGTGGCTCTTCAGGTGGGGAGAGTTCAGCAAGGGGTGAGCAAGCCTGATATCAGGCATACAGATCCCATGAAACTCAGAAAAGCAGGTGGGCATTTCCAGGCACCTGTGGAAGCAGTGCATAGGGAACAGAGGTTTCTGCAATCCAGCAGGTGATCCTCTCACTGCCCCCCATGCTGACAGTCACATGATTGGGATTCAAATAATTTTATGCCCTATTTCTATAACTTTGTGACCTGCCAAGTATGTCTGGCATAAAATTCCTCAGACCCCCAGTTGCACAGTTGCATTAATGTTTGCCAGCAGCCCCAATTCAGCCACTTTGGCTGCCAAAGAGAAACCTTGGTTTCTTTCAGAAATGTTAACAGTTATGAATGCTCTGCTCAGAAAGCCCCTATGTAAAGTAGCATGGGCAAGCATCCATGATTATTTGCCCAAGGACTTGGACACTTGACTTGTTTACGCTGGTCTAATCAGTCTTTACACTGGCATTAAAAAGGAATGAATTAATAACATACAGTTCAATGCTGGTGTAACTTACTTGAATCTGGTGTAGAATTAATTTTGGCCAGGATAGATTGAGTTTGAGGCATAGCTTTTTTTGGCCCACCTTTTCTAGGGCCTTCCTCAAGAGAGGCAAGCAGGCCCCTGAAGATGCCTGCTTGAGCACCTTGGTAGCTGCCTCAGGTTCCTTATAGATTCATAGATGTTAGGGTCAGAAGGGACCTCAATAGATCATCGAGTCCAACCCCCTGCATAGGCAGGAAAGAGGGCTGGGTCTAGATGACCCCAGCTAGATGCCTATCTAACCTCCTCTTGAAGACCCCCAGGGTAGGGGAGAGCACCACCTCCCTTGGGAGCCCGTTCCAGACCTTGGCCACTCGAACTGTGAAGAAGTTCTTCCTAATGTCCAATCTAAATCTGCTCTCTGCTCGCTTGTGGCCATTATTTCTTGTAACCTCCGGGGGCGCCTTGGTGAATAAATCCTCACCAATTCCCTTCTGTGCCCCCATGATGAACTTATAGGCAGCCACGAGGTCGCCTCTCAACCTTCTCTTGCGGAGGCTGAAAAGGTCCAGTTTCTCTAGTCTCTCCTCGTAGGGCTTGGTCTGTAGGCCCTTAACCATACGAGTGGCCCTTCTCTGGACGATAGAGGGGAAGTATCCCCTCCTTGGACCTATTCGTCATGCATCTGCTGATGCACGATAAAGTGCCATTGGCTTTTTTGATGGCTTCGTCACACTGCCGACTCATGTTCATCTTGGAGTCCACTAGGACTCCAAGATCCCTTTCCACTTCCGTGCCACCCAGCAGGTCATTCCCTAGGCTGTAGGTGTGCTGGACATTCTTCCTCCCTAGGTGCAGCACTTTGCATTTCTCCTTGCTGAATTGCATTCTGTTGTTTTCTGCCCACTTGTCCAACCTGTCCAGGTCTGCTTGCAGCTGTTCCCTGCCCTCTGGCGTGTCCACATCTCCCCATAGCTTTGTGTCATCTGCAAACTTGGACAGAGTATATTTCACTCCCTCGTCCAAGTCACTGATGAAGACATTAAAGAGTATCGGTCCCAGGACTGAGCCCTGCGGGACCCCACTGCCCGCACCCTTCCAGGTCGAAACCGACCCATCTACCACGACTCTCTGGGTGCAACCCTCTAGCCAATTTGCCACCCACCGGACTGTGTAGTCATCCAAGTCACAGCCTCTTAACTTGTTCACCAGTATGGGGTGGGATACCGTATCGAAGGCCTTCCTGAAGTCTAAGTATACGACATCCACCCCTCCCCCTGTGTCCAGGCGTTTCGTAACCTGGTCATGAAAAGAGACTAGATTGGGCAGGCACGATCTGCCTGCCATGAACCCATGCTGGTTTCCCCTCAGCATAATTTGTCCTGCCGGGCTCTCACAAATGTGAGCCTTGATCATTTTTTCAAAGACTTTGCCAAGGATGGAGGTGAGACTGGCTGGCCTATAGTTGCCCGGGTCCTCCTTCCTCCCCTTTTTGAAGATGGGGACCACATTGGCCCTTTTCCAGTCCTCCGGGACTTGGCCCATGCGCCACGAGCTTTCAAATATTCCCGCCAGTGGCTCTGCAATGAGGTCGGCCAGTGCCTTCAGCACCCTCGGATGAGCTCATCCCCTTACGAAGTCCTGTGGCCATCACACCAAGACCTTTAATGGTCTGGGGCAAGAGTATGGAAGAGTGGAATCTGTCCTAGATCTACCAGCTCCCCTTTACACCACTGAGACAGAGTCCAGAGACCAGACTGAGCTGAGACATTCAGGGTCTCAATGGTTGTAGGTTCTGCCAGAAAGCAGCAGATTAGAGCTGCTTCTGACTGCCTAATGTGCGGGCCGGGCGCGA